CTATGAGTTTATGCCTCTGTGTTATCAGCATTATCACATTCCTCCTTCCCTGACACCCTTCTTTATGCGCACAGACGATATTAGCGAAGGGAATCATCTGCTTTTATGAAATTCTGACTTCGGTCATTGATTTGGCAAGCGCTGGAGGTGTAGGACTATATTCACATATAAGATTTATAGATTACATTTATGAACTTAACAGATATAAATATCACGAATATCAAATTTTTATTTAATCTAGATCCGGTTTTATGCATTTAAGGTTTGTTCAGTTTTGAAGAGAAATGCTAAACGACTCAAGTTCTTTCCAACTATCAGAAAATTCCCAAGTGAATGGCCCAAAGAAAAACGATAAATTATTACGGAAGATAACAGGTACTTGCTCGATAACACTTCCAATGACGACAGAATTATTGTTTCCAATTTAGAAAAAGTTAGAGCGCTGAAGGTGGAAAAAGACTTAAACGAAAGTGAACTGACATCATTATTAGAGAGACGATTGCGAGCAAGATGTACATTTGAAGGCGTTCGTGAATGGATTTTCGACATGAGACACTAACCGTAGTGAATTAATGAATAATACATTAGGACTGTTTGTAAGACGTTAGTGCAACGAGAAAACGATTCGTTTCGTTTAGCAGTGTTATTGTTGCTTGCTGCATCATTATGTTTCCAGCATTTACAGGTGAGTACTCATTTTCTGGTAACTTTTATTCACTCAGGTGATCGTTGGCTCTGTGCAATTGTATGCTAGTGCTTTTGGCGTATTCCTCTTGCATGCATCTCTCATGTTGCGCTCTATGAGTTCTTTCGTTCCGGAGAATTGCTTTTCCTTNCTTACCGAACGTACTACTACTAGTTTCGGCCGAATAATGTGAGTAGCTGGATTCATGCGTTCCGTAGTGTGCTGTCATATGGTTGGTAAATGATTGTGCATCGCCATCAAACATTCTCGAGCATCAATTTTATCTTTTTTCTGTCTCTTTTAAGCCAGCCTGAGTGCAGTGTAAATGAACATTTCTGTTGGAATATTTGAGTAATTCGATATTTCATCTTGAAACCAAGCGAATTTGTGGCCGCACTAGATGAGCCAATTTTGCTCTAAAATCAAAAATTCAGTTGATCAGTTAATCATTTCTCAAAGCTTCCAATTACGGATTGGAAGTGCCGTTATATTTCATACTTTTGCATTTTAAATACTTTTAATTTCTTTAAATTTTTATAACCTTCCTGGTTAAAATTTGATATTGTGACTTACCATAAGTTATGAGATGTGCAAATCACAAATTGATCTGATGGAAGCAGTCTGTCTCACTTCCAGTAATGAGATACGAATCAACTTGGCTTTTTGTAAGTAATGATGTTTATCGGCGATGTTTGCAACAATATGAATATTGTTACGAGTGCAAGTCTTGTGGTGTGTGTCTGTTTTGAGAACTATGAATATTATGAATGTTTTGAACAGTGAATATTATGATATTGAGTCTTTTGAGAACTATGAATATTATGAATGTTGTGTTTTGAACAGTGAATATTATGATATTGAGTNTCCAATCGGTTCACATTCAATCGTCAGTGAAATTCAGTGATCGGAAGTTGCTTCTTTCTCCCTTTTTTATTGTCATTACGTCGGCAGCTGAATGTTTCGAAGGCGTGATCACCTCAAAAGTAACTGTGCAGTATTGAACCGAACGGAAGTATGAAATTAGTTTGGTAATAGCAGTAGTTCATTTATAAGTCAACGTGAGATATTTCAGCCGGAATGCCGTTGTTCGGTGAAGCAGCATCGCCGTATGATGATGTGATTGAAAAGGTCACTGCAGAAACATGCACAAGCGAAAACTGGACTTTGATAGTTGATATATGCGATAAGGTTGCGGCTGAACAATCCAAGGGTATATTACATCAGCGCTTTAAATACCTCCTCTTTTATGAATTTGAACTGCCAATTCCGATAGCTTCCAGTTAGGGAAGCAATAGAACTTTGAATTTCTTGCATCGATTTGGGAATTATCAAGCTATGATTTTGGATCGTGCGTTTTAGCACCAGAAAAAATTTATGATGCTATAGGAAAAAGCGAATTCGTGTAAGTTGAAAATTTTAATGTAAAAGTTTTGTGAAAATTGAAATTCTTGTTTTGTATTCACTTTCTAGAATGCATCAAGTTCGAATGGCTAAAGTTAAAAAATAACGGAATGTTTCGGAAATCTACTCGAAAGTACTGACTGTGAGTGAGCAGAATTTTATTGAGTAAAGATAATCACTTCGTGATTCAGGTGCAAAGATGTGCTTGTTATCAATCAAAAAACGTTTGAATCATCGTGATCCTCATGTGGTTTTATTAGCATTGTCCGTTCTCGATTCGTTATGGAGTAACTGTGGTGTTCATTTTCGTCGTGAAGTCTCATCACGAGAGTTCTCACAAGAACTTGCTTCTAAAGCCACACATGTATGATGATACACTCTTCTTTTTAGTGTTACATTTTGAGTAAATTGAAATTTCCATATTTTTTGAATATATCCTCACTGTGATTGTTTCGCATTGATCGAGGAGTCCACAAATTTATGCGTGACTCGTGCGCTGCATATTCGATTATGTGCTAGTTTGGTTGGGCTGAACTAGCTAACCTGAGGTGATATCATCATCTGGGAAAAAATGAGTGAGTAGGTGTATTGGCGGTTATCTGGAGAGAGGAGGAGAGTGCGGTCGCCATAATTCTACCAGTGCAAAAGCATTCATTTCGAGTGTATGATGCGAGAGGTTATTCGTAACTGATGTGACACATATTTATGTGCGGGTGGATGCAAACTTTTATTTGTTCATCTGCCTCATTTCAAAACTGGTTTTGACTGCACGTTTGGAAAGATTGAGAAACTTCTCCGATTGTTCATGATGAATGTTTAATGACCTCCGGAAATGTTGTGTGAAGTGAATAAATAAACAATCGGCTTTGGACAATTTATTGATTGATATTGATAGTGATGATGGTTAATAAGGATGATATTAGAGCAATCGAAGTGTGGGTGAGAAAACGCGTTTAATGCTGAAGAAATGGGCTGAGAACGAGTGTAAAACTGATGCGTCATTGGGTCTTATTGAATCGTTGTACAACAATCTGGTCGCTGAAGGACATTCGTTCGAAAGTGATACGCCATCTTCAAAAATGAAGGTATCAATTCTGGTTTTTTTTGTTCGATGTTAATTGTCATTTATCTTTCACATAATATATCGATGCTTGCACATTGTTGTTGAAATAGTGGCAGTAAAAATAATCATTATTGCTGTGTTTGTTGTGATTTATTAAGTGCAAGGTCATCGCCATCAAAACTCTGATATATTTTCAGACATTGAGCTCAGATCCGAATGTTGTGCAGAGCGCCGAAGAAGAAGAAGCACTAGCACGTGCTATAGCATTATCGCTAGATGATACAAGTCGAAACTGCTCAATTTATCCGTCAACAATCAATAACGTTCAAAATAATGGCTCTACCTCAAATAAGTTCGTTCTGATTTTTGTTTCAAATTCTATTATGTGTTGCATTTCGTTGCAAATTTATCGTTTCAAAGTGATCATTATATCTGGGATAAAAATCCATGAAATGTGTGATTGAGTATGGAGGGATGAAGTTTGTTTTTATCTGATTTATGGTGTGGATGTAACCAGAAATATTCTCTCGAATGTGAAAGTGAATGAGGATGTGTATGTGTTCGAATTTCAGGTGTGTTGAACGTGATGTGCGTGCGCTGTACGATTTTGAAGCGGCTGAAGACAATGAACTGACATTCGTGACTGGTGACATAATCACTGTTTTGGACGATAGTGATCAGAATTGGTGGAAAGGTAGATCGAGTCGTGGCGAAGGCTTATTTCCATCTAGTTTCGTCACTTCTCAGTTGAATCCGTCACCAGAACCAGCAGCCAATCCTGATGATAATGCAGATGACGATAAACAATCTCAGCAACAACAACCAGTTCGTTGATCGATTATTACCAGTTTTCCGATATTTTTACACCGTTTTATTCGGGCGACTTTCATTTATGGGTCGAGAAAATTTTGTCATGAACATTTGCGGTAATACCGGCTGCTTTGAAAAAGAGATGCATCTGGGTTGAAAACATTGGAACTGTTCGATTTGTTAATATTGAATCTTTGGATCAGAAACATCCTGCGACAATTGAAAGAAGTCGTTACTTAAGGTTCGTGTGGCTCGTATCGATGAGTCCGTCCTCCTGGAATGTCTCCGTTTATTGGAAGACTGTGATCCAACTGGTGAGAGGCCAGATCCGCCAGAACTGGCTGAAGCCGAGATCAACAGCCACGCACAGGTTATTCTTCGTACTGAATCTGCGTAACTTATATCATTCCACGGATTTCTTGTAAATAACGTATAGGTCATTAATTGAACTCTTTCACCGTTTCAATCATCTCTTATCGCATTGTTCACCTAAATATTTTT